TAATAATAATAATAATAATAATAATAATAATAATAATAATAATAATAATAATAATAATAATAATAATAATAATAATAATAATAGTAATAATAATAATAAATAATAATAATAATAAATAGCGGTATCGGAGGTCATTTTATTACTCTAATCTAATTTCAATAGATTGACCAATTATCAATTGGTTCGTATTTAACTATAATAAAATTTTCGAATAAAACTTCGAATAAACAAAAAAAGAAATTGGAATTTATAGATAGAGAAAAGGAAATAATGAAGTGTGTCTCAATGAATTTCTAATTATGAACCGGTAAAGGAACAATAAATTAGTTTCAAATTGCTGGAACAAAAATAGTTTTTATTCGTCCAGACATCAAATTATTTACCTTACTGTAATAAAAATACCAAAAATTCACATATCGTTTGTTATGTATAACGATTATTAAATAATCAATTTGTTTGGAAATGATTTCCGAAATTATCACCAGTGGTTGAAATTGAATTTGATTGCTTCATATTTGCTACTCAATCTCTCTTCATAATCGAATTTTTTTGTAAATTTCAATAGAAATACTGAAATTTCGTAAATATATTTTATTAAAATAGAGTACATTTTATTAGAATCGGAGTTAGAGAAAAAGAGAAGAGGGAAATGATGAAAAAAAGTGAAGATAAATGATTATATAAATTCGTGAAATGTTTAGCGGGAGCTTTTGATTCGATGGTTTTAATCGGCAAAATTTGGCTTAGGTCTTAGTCATCTGTTAGCTGATTAAAATTTTAGTATTAATGAGACTAAATTTTTCTTGTCTTTATTGGATCCGGGAAATACAATTTTCAGATGTGTGATAAATTAAATGACACTATTAAGTTGCAACAGTATGATCCCATTAAATTTTACTAAACAAACTGCAATTTTATTGACATATTTTAATTGAATAAGTTATGGAATTTTTTTTATTATTTATTCCATATTATTGGAAATCATTTTGATTGATTTATCAATTATTAAAAATGAAGATTTATTTTTCGAAACTTCGGCCTAAATTTTATAAATTTTTGTAACTATACTAGAAGATTTTGTTGTTAGGAATGTTTAATTTTGGATTTACAACAACTGCAAAAATTGTCGTGAATTATTTAACGTCTCGCCTAATCAAGAAGAATTTTATAATGAAAAGGGAAAGGTGGAAAAATTGTCGAGTTTTCGATGAAATTTCACAAATTATGATGATTTTATGTCCGTACTTTTTAATGTTGATAAGAATAAATGATGATTTGGGACAATTGAATAGAATTTTAAATTTAAATAACATTAGAAGAAGGATTTGAAATGATTTCAAAATTAAGTCAACTAATCATTCGCATCAATCTTATTCATTAGAAGAGAGAGAGAGAGATTTTTTTATATTTTTTTATTTTTTATTTTATTCATTAGAGTACAGAATGCTTAAAGAGATAAAATTTGGAAATTTGAAATAGGTTAATTTATGTTACAAAATCAAGTTTATGCACATGTATAATTAATTATAGAAATGCTTTAGATCAGATTTATTAATTTCATATAATTTCTAAATGAATGGCTAAGTATTCAAAAACAGGTATGGTACATGCTATGTTAAATGGGGCGACAAATCAAAGCCAGGTAAAGTATGCTTTAAAAAAAGTACTTAACTATTAAGCTTTTTTTTTCTTTTCTTTCAAAGTAAGCTTTTTTTCTTTTTAAAGTAAGCTTTCGCATATATTGCAAAAAAATTTAGGGGCAAATGTTTGAAGTAGGTGTCGTATATATTTGGCAAAAGAAGAGCTAAGTGCTACAGGTGAACATCGAAGCAAATATTAAATATACTTACAAAAAAAGAATAAAGGCCAAGTGTTCAAAATAGGCATATTATATACTTGGCAGAAGAAAAAAGTTGAAGAATAGATGTATAAGGTGAATAAAATTATATTTCGCATTTTGAAATACTGTATATAAGTATTTCAAATCATATGTTTGCACGAATCAATAAATGCTCACCAAATTAATAGCCCAGTAACATTTACATTTGTACTGCAATACTGTAAATAATACCGTTATCAAAAATATTTATTGTTTTTGTTGTGTGATCATACTGTACACTCGACAGTACACCGTGTCTTTTCCAACTACCTATTTCTGGAATGTTATCGTAAAATTTATCAGTACCAAAATCATAAATAATATTTAAAATGTTTGAAGTAATATTTTGAGTTATAGTATACAAATGGTTGCAAGCAATGAATGCATTCACAGCAGTTTTTGCATCCAAGAATTGTAAAATCCAAGATTTACGTTCCGCAAGTGACATGCAATCCCGTAATGAAGCTTTTAGTGCACCATCCGGAACAGAATGATATAAAATCCATAAATGACTACCATCATTTTCCAAATCCAAATATGAATGGGAAAATTTGTAGATTGGAACCTAAAAATTTGAAAATTTTCCAACTTCCCGTAAATTGTCATCAAAATTTAAACTTAAAAATTTGTTGGTATGTTAGTTTTAATCCTTTGATAATTTCAATAAATTCCGACGTAATTTGACTTGAATTGATTTGCATATATTTCAAGAACTTTTAATTTCAATTTGTTGAGGAAAGCTCAATTTAATTTGCCAAAAGACTGATTAATATTAAACAAAATTGTATATTTTCTTTCATCAAAAAATTGTTTATTGTCTTTCATTTTACCGTTTCATTGCAAATTTAAACGAACCGAAAGGATTCTTTCAATTTCTATTCGTTTGCAAAAGAAAAGATAATAAGAATCTGCCTAGTGAGTAAAATTAAATTTAATTACTCAGTCAAATGGAATCAATAAAACAGTCTTGTTCGATCTTTTATGAGCTCAGAGTCGAATCATTTCTGAAATTCGGCTTAGTAAAGAAAAAATAATCGAAATATATCAGATCCCTGGGATGAAGGGAAATGAATAATTTGTTGATAAAAATTATCAAACAAATTTTAGTAATATTATACCCTCATTCTTTTCCACAAGAAAAGGTCGCTAATTTTCACATCACTAATCAAACCATTTCAAATCGTCCAGAGTGGACAGAAGGCATAATGTCATCATCCCATATGGTCAGCGGTCAGTTCTGGATTTCATATGAGATGATGATATGGCGCAATAACTGACTAACTGAGGATTTTGTTGATTATGACAGTTGTGAGAAGTGATTATTATTCTTGGACATATGGTTAATTTTGCATAATGTCAACGATATCAATACGGTAATACCAGCATTAGATTTGGCATGAAAAATTCGGCAGGGGAGCGAATTTCCGGGAAACTATCTTCCATCCAAGAGCATTAATCATAGAAGGTTATGTAATCAGAATTAGGAATCAGAAATTGGATGCAGTATAACTGATGCAGAATACTGTTCGGTCATTATCAGCAATCTTTGTCACCAGTTATCACCAATCAACAACGATGACCATATCACCGTTTCACTTTTTAGACAATAAAACAAAATCATGCTTAGCATAAACGCAATTCAATAATGCTTTGTAAATTTATATGCTAATGCAATTAAAGGCTTCTTTTTGATCTTTTTCACTTATAAATTTGAGGACAATTTAAAAATTTCAAACTAAACCTTTAAAGCATCAATTGCTGCACTTTTTGAACGTTTTTCATCAATTTGATATGAATAAATATGCGATGTTGCTGATGCATAATAAATAAAATTATTTTCATTACATGCCGTATTATCTGTGCCATCAAATTGCGCGGTATCTAAGGAATGTACGGCAAATGGATGCGAAAATCGTAAATCAGATAGATTACGATATTCAAAAACATTATATCCCAATGAATATTCAGTCTAAAATTCATACCAAATTTATGGTGAAAAATAAAAAATTAAGCAAAGAAAAGAAATGTAACTGAAATATTAAAGTTAGCAGAAATGTAATAATTATTGATTTCTATAAGAAATGATATATTTAAATTAGTAATTCGATAGCGAATATCATATCATAGTAATAAATTTTACAAAATGTAATAATATGCATTTAAATGGTAAATTCACGAAAATTTTCATCTAATGAATAAAATAGCCATTGCATTTAGTTGTCAATTTGTTTTCAAATTAAAATTGAACAGCTCAGACTGAACTTTAAATATTTCAAAACAAAGCTTTTGTTTTTTCTTTAACTGCAATTTTACATGGAACAGTATACTTCGAGGCTTTCGAATGTTCAATTTTTTAATGATTCCAATTTTTTAATGATTTCCAATTGGACTCAAAAATTTGCTTAATTAAGTTTATTTTTTTTTTCATAATGTTGCGACATATTAGATTCCCACATATCGTACTGTAACGATCTTCTACAAGAAACTACAGATTTATAACTGAAATATTGTTCCAATTCTATAATGAAACAATTAAAAGCCAATTCTACAGTATGCCACACATATGCCTTGCAATAATAATTGATAGATTTCCATAAGCAATAAATCGGATTGGTTATAGTGGAAAATGATTAAAGTTGTATAATGAAATGGGAAATTTGAAAAATTTGAATAATTTTAACCTGAAACCAACGTGTACCATAACGAACAATGCCACCGATTCTATTCAAACGACGAGCCAAAATTTGTGGCTGGGAAATTGCACTAATTAAGCCACAACCTGAAAATTGAGGAAAAATAAGTTCCGATTTTTTTAAATATTTCTTCGTTTTTAGACTTGGAAACAATCGAAAAAGTGAATTATTTGATGTTAGTCATAAATAATTGATTAAATTGAGCAAAAGATGGTAAATTGGCTTGAAAATTATTAAGCAAAATTTATGATATCATGTTAAATATTGAGAAAATTTATAGAAATGCATATAATATAACTATGGTAGAGATTGGAAGTAAACCAAAAGGAAAATAAAAATAATAGAATTGAAAAGAACAAAAATATTAGCAAAATTGGAGCATATTTTTTCGGTTTTAAAATACTTTCTCTGTAGATTTAAAACATTTGTTTAAGACCCTTTGTAAATAAAATAACTGAAAGAATTTGACACGGTTCACGTCGGATTCAGGATCATTGATAGTCTAGCCGTGAAACAGGAAAAAATGAAGTTAATGATGCACTATGCATAAAATATTTCGTTGATATTAGTCCGTAAATTTCATTTCTACTTTTTTGCTAATAGAAAAGATCTTCCGGATTTCGGAATGGAATACAAATAAGTATAAATATATTACGTAATGCATATTATAAAATATATATACACAAATCGTTGTAAATGTATTACACAATAACAAAATCTAATTTTAGGTATCGCTTTTTTTTTTTTATAAAAGCGAATTCGTTTTCGAAATGATTCATTCATGACAGGATTCATCTATGACATGATTTATATTCGACAGAATTCATTTATGGCAGGGTTTACGACCGGATTCATTTATAATATAGGAGTCGATAGAATTCATAGAAAGTTTCTAAACTTCCATAAATATTACCTTGTTTATTCAATGTTTTCCGTCTGTTACTATAATTCGTTATGTTTTTTGCATGTTTCCACTTATGCTTCTTGCGCCGTTTGCTGTGTTCCTCACAAATAGCTTTCAATGATTTATCCTAAATTCTCAATCAATAATTACCAGAGTACTCGGGGGATAGGCAGAAAGGGAATAAGATATTAATAATGTCAAAACATTACTAATATCTCATTCTAATAAACATATGATTCGGAGAAGAGTTATTTCAAACTCGTACGTACATATGAATTATTAACAATTTTTTTTTTTTTTTCAATCTATTTAATATTATATTTTAACAAATCCCAAATAATTGAATTTTTTCTTTTTTTTCTTGCAAAAATAAAGGCATTGAAACACAAAAGTTCTGAGTAAAAATTCAAATTTTAAATGAACAACTCTTCCTTAAATTATAAATTTAACCGAAATTTGAGCATAAATTGGAAGGTATAGTGTAGATGATAACAATGATAAATCTGTAGATTTCAATTCATCGTTATCTTCAACATCACGTATTTCTCGTCGATATCGTATACGATTTATTGCTATTTCACTTGTATCATTTTGATGATTGGTCAACAATTTTGATGACTAAAATTTAAAACGAAAAAATTTTTAAACTCTTTTTTTCATTCTCTCTGAGAAATTTTTTTTTCTTTGCGTAATTTCACATTGCATTAATTTTCAATTGTTTTTATTAAATGTTTAGAAAGAGGAAATTAAATTGTTTTTAAAAAAGAAACATTTACCTGTTGCAGTAATAAAATTCCAATAATTATTGCTTCCAGAAATATACATGTAGTAAGAAAGATGATAATCAAACGAATTGATAATAATTGCTTAGTGTGATACATTGAAGAAATACATCAAATGGTTTGGAAAATTATCGGTGATTCCTTTTTTTTAATATTATAATTTAATTCACTTCAATTTCTAAAATCAAAATTTTGAAAAATTTACGTTTTTTTTTCTTTTCTCTCACTCTCTCTCTCTCTCCTTATCTCTCGTTCATTTTCTCGTTATATATAGAGTATTTTTTAGGTATTTTGATTATAATCTGCAATTGTATAGCAGAGAGAGAGAGAGAGAGAGAGAGAGGGAGAGAGAGAATAAATAAGAAAAATGGCTCAAATGGCTTAAATGACTCAAACTGATTATTTAAATATTTCTGGAATGACGAAAAAAAAAAAGAAAAATGAGGGAAGGAAAAAAAAAGATTAATTAGTACGAAACGAACAATTTCCTTCCAAAGACTCAAATGAGAGATATTACAGCCATCCGAAGTGTCCCAATCTGTCCCACTCATCCATTTTATCCCTGTTGAAAAGGCGATGGCGACACTTTCGTTTCCGAGATTACGATGCTATTATAACGGTGGTCATTAAATAGCGCCCCGCTTCCTCTCTCTCCCTCAATCCGTCCCCCGCTGTCCCGCCCCATATATTGTTTCAGCGAAGTCTTTATGGTTTAACCAGCTCATATGCTTTTATTAATCATACAGTACTATTATCATCAGTTCAAATAATTACTTCCTTTGTAAAACAGTAGGAGTGTGTATTTTTGTATGTGTGTGTCTGTCTGTGCGTCTGTGTCTGTCTGCCTCTCTATGTTCCCTTCGTCTGCTTATTTATATCTATTTGTTTATTTCGTACAATACACACATGCATCCACACACATAAAATAATTAATGATGATGAAAATAATAATAATTAATTATGATATAATGAAGATAAATGAATAAGGAAAATATTCTTAAAATATAAATTCGATTTTTAAGATTTTCAGAAACAAAAAAATGAGGGCCGGAAAAATGGATGAAACAAAAATTGAGATGGAAAATGATGATTAATTATTATTGATAATAATATAATAATGGTAATAATAATAATAATAATAATAATAATAATAATAATAATAATAATAATAATAATAATAATAATAATAATAATAATAATAATAATAATAATAATAATAATAATAA